GTCTTCAAGATTCACTGAAAACCCTGAGAACTCTCCGGTAAGGATGCCACTGTGCGAGTTCACTGTGTGTCCCTTCCTCCTGTATCTCTATCAGCCATGGATTAGAAGACGACAAAGAGAACAAAAACACACCAGAGCTTAGAGAAGCCCTTTCCCTTGGCACTTTCCTTCCAATGCCCTCTATGGACAATGTTTAACATCATGCTGTGGCAAAGGAGAAATTCCTACAGGTTCTACTTCTATTAACTGAGAGAAGGCAATGGAAGGTGAACTAAGTGCAGTGCTAAATGTGATCAATAGGGTGTTACCACGGTCTCTCTAGGAGAATTTATTGAAAGTTGAGAACCAGGTATGGTGGCAGGTGAGAATGATACAATGAAGAACATAATAAACAAGAATCTCTGCCCTCCTGGAGCTTGTATTTGGGATGGGGGCATAGATCGACTGACAAATTAAACAAAAAATTGAGAGGGTAATTTAGTGTCACAATGAAAGGAAATGGGAAACCATGACAACGAATAAGGGGCTCTTTTTAGAACAGGCAGACATGGAATGCTTGTTCAAGGTAGTGGCAAATATTGTGATTTTTAAAGCATATCTAAATGTACAAAGTAAGGGGTTTCATTTGGTATTGCCAAGTGTGTATAAAATGTACTTTTATCATACCCACCCCTCTACTACTCTTTCTTATCCTCCTCTCCTTTTCCCCTTCTCTTTCTACATCCCTAGCAGGGAGTCCCCCTTTGACTTTCATGTCCTTCCTGGTTTTCCTCCTTGATTCCATATATGAGAGAAAACATGGGATACTTCCTTGTCTTTGTGGGACTGGTTTATTTCATTTAACATGATGATTTCCAGTTCTACTCATTTTCCAGCAAATAACATAATTTTATTTCATTATGTCAAAGATTTATATTCATCTAAGAATCATTACTTACCTTTACAAAATAAATATCCTTGAATACATTTAAATTCAGTCCCCCCCCAAAGACTCCAGTTTGGGGGACATTCATTCAACATTCATATCACATCAAGATTGCATGAGTGATTGCACTGTCTACTCCTTCATCATTTGTTGGTAACACATGCCAAAATCACCCCTGCAAGATACGGTCAGGAGAAAACACAGGCTTTCAATTTAGAAGCAAACACACTTTTATCAAAGGGCTCGTAAAATCAAACACAGTGATTTTTCTAACATTGATGGTTGTTAAAGGAATTTTTTTTTCTTTTTTTGTTGATTTGGATTTTTTAATTCATTTATTCATATGTGCATACATTATTTGGGCCATTTCTCTCCACTGCCCCCTTTCTCTCCCCCTCACTCCTTTAGCTTCCAGTTAGAACCTGTTCTGCCCTCTTCTCCAATTTTATTGAAGAAGACATAAGCAATAATAAGAAAGATATAGTGTTTTTGCTAGTTTGAGATAAGGATAGCTATACAGAGATTCCTAGCATTGCTTCCATGCACACGTGTATTACAATTACTTCCCAGACACCTTCCAATAGTGACCTCTATTGTTTTAAAGGTTACTATATTAGCTCCTCTACAGTGGGCTCATCAAACACTTTCAAGTTTTGGGTTTCCTACCTTTCCCTATTCCTCCTGTTCACATTCTCCTCTTAGCATGTGACCCATGTCCAATAATATTACTGCATTTGTTTTAAGTCTAAAGTCCACATATGAGGGAGAACATATGATTTTTGGCCTTCTGAGCCTAGCTAACTTCCCTTAAGATGATCTTCTCCAATTCCATCCATTTACTTGTGAATGATAAGATTTCATTCTTCTTCATGGCTGAGTAGAATTCCCTTGTGTATAAATACCACATTTTCTTAATCCATTCGTCAGTAGTGGGGCATCTTGGCTGTTTCCATAACTTGGCTATTGTGAATAGTGCCGCAATAAACATGGGTGTGCAGGTGCCTCTGGAATAACCTGAGTCACATTCCATTGGGTATATCCCTAGGAGTGGGATTGCTGGATCATATGGCAGATCTATGTTTAGTTTTTTAAGAAGCCTTCATATTGTTTTCCAGAGTGGTTGGACTAGCTTGCATTCCCACCAGCAGTGTATGAGGGTTCCTTTTCCTCATATTCTCACCAACATTTGTTGTTGTGGTGTTTTTGATGATAGCTATTCTAACAGGGATGAGGTGGAATCTTAGTGTGGTTTTGATTAAAGGAATGTTTAACAGGACTCTTCTTAGATATTTTTAAGACATGGCATGGTTGTGTTCATAGAATTTTAAAATAGCTTAGAACTTAGAAACCCTCTAATCATTTCATTTTTTTAGGTGACTTAGGCCCAGAAAGTCTAGGTGGCTTGTTTAAGATGATCGTTTTAGTCTGTTTTTCATTACTATAACAAAAGGCTTGAAGCTGAGTAACTTTACAAAGAAGTTTATTTAGTTCATAGTTTTTAAGGATTGAAGTCCAAGATCAGGCAGCCCCATTCATTTGGCTTCCAGTGAGGCCCTAATAGTGGATGTCAGCATGAAGGGAGCACATATGAGAATAAAGGATCATATTGCCAAACAGGAAGCCATAATTGGAGTCCCATAATCCCTTCTGAAGGCAGCACCCTCAGTGACCCAATAACTTCCCACTAGGGCTCACCTCTTAAATGTCCTACCACCTCTCACATTACTACGTTGAGGAGCAATCTCCAACATATGACTCCTTGGGGTAAAAACTCATCCAAACCACAGCAACCATCAACTAATTAATGGTAAGATGAGACAGAAGCCAGTCCCACTGTCCTCTTGGTCCAATACACTTTCTACCACAGCCAAGGTGTTGGAGCCAACTAAAGTTTCACAAGTGATTCTTGACAGTGCTCATACATAATATTCACTCTACAAGAATGAAAGTATCAGTAATAGGTGGTACATGGTAAGAAAAGAGCTTTGGATTGAGAAACAGTTGGGCTTTTCATCTGCTTTTACTACTTGTGTTACACAAACACCCCCACACAACTGTCAGTTTAAAAGATCATCTTTATTGAATGCACAATTCATAAATAGAAGTCAACTCGACATGGATCAATATTCTCTTCACCTCCCACCATTTCACTTAGATTCCTGAAAACAATCCTTCTGACTTTTGACACAATCTGCTTACTGTCAAGCTGCTTAAAATGAAACATGAAACTCTGTGTTTTTAAAAGTACAATAATAGGCCCTGGAGTACCAGGCAATTCAAGTGAGGGCACAGATCTGTGTGCCATATCTTCTGCATAGGTGACAAAAGACTCAGAATGGTGATGACCCAAAGCTCATCCCCATCTACAAAAATAAAGAACATTTGTTTAACACTTTGAGGTGAACAAAGGATTTTTCAGGTACATAGTTTTAAATGTTTTTATAGAAGCTAGAAAAAGAATGATATACACTTCCTTCCGGTGGTAAGACACAGAGGTGGAGCGGATTCCTCAGTCATGTTGGTTCCCTAGATTATTGGATTTACTTTATTACTGTTAGTTTGCTAGAATACCAAGTATTGGATGGCAATATGAGTTTATTGCCTCACAGTTCTGGAGGCCAAAGTCCAAAACTGGGGTGCGAGCAGGACCATGCTCCCTCTGAAAGCATGGAGGAAGGATGGGTTCCATGCTTCTCCCAGTTTAGGCTTGTTCTTTAGCTTGCGGCCAACCTTAACTCCAGTTTTCAGGTGGTATTCTCCCTGTGTGCATGTCTGACTCTGTGCCCAAATTGCCCCTTTATGTGAGGGTACCAGTCATATTGGATTAGGGCTCACCTTCATAATCTCATGTTGATTCTTTGCAGAGACCTTACTTCCAAATGTGTGCTTAAGAATATGGAGGAGACACACTTCAACCAGAAACTATTGCTATTTCCTTCCTCCTTTTAATTTTGCCACACATATCGGTGGCCAGCAGCACAGCATTCACTTGTTCACTCAATTAACATTCATTCAATTCACATTTGAATGCACATGTCAGGCTATGTACTACTAATACAAAAAAATAAACTGGAAAGAGATCCTGTCCTTGGGAGGTCACACTTTCAAGATAATCAGAGACACATTACTATGACCATAAGTGCTATTACTGAGCAGGTACTGCTAGGTATATAACAGGTAGTTCTGATGAGGGAATTTTCATAATAGTGTGACAAGTGATACATCTGACACGCGCTTAGAGAGCTTACATTGCAGGTCCCAAATCTACTCTAGAGTAAAACATACTTTCACAAACTAGGTAGTATATATCTGAGTCCACAGGGATATGAACAAATATACTAAGTAGTAGTACAAAGGTGGTTGTCGTTGAGTAGTGAACTCCAAAGAAGTGCATTTTATAGAGGGAGAAAACCCGCACATATAAAGAGACAAACTGTAACCATGAGCGCTGTGTTTTGGTCTATTTTAATTATCTCCTATATCTTGGACGTACCTGCTTCGTTCACTAAGTAATCACTGCATGAAAAAAAGGCATCAAATGTCTAAGGCATGGTATCGCCTGCAGTTTACTGTCGCTGGAAAGGCAGGCAAAGGCGCAATCAGAATCCCGCCTATAAGAGCTTAGGGCTAGATTGATGACATATCGATAGTATTAAATTCTGGGACGTTCTGTAATACTTGACACCACTCTGCAAATCACCCCTCTTCTCCAAAGCATGTACAAGGGTGCCGCGCGGGTCAGAAAAATGGTTAAGGGCGCAGACTCCGCACACTCTAAAGTACGGTTCTCTGGATAACGCTGGATTGAAGCACACGGTAGAGCCTCCTTTTTCTTCCTTCCATTCTGTCCTCCCGTTCCAGCTCCACGGTTAGCAGAACCGTCTCCGAACCCTCTCCAAATCCCACTGAAGAAGGAATCCCAAGCGCGCTCCCGCCCGCCCTCCTTCCCTCCGGAACGCAGCAAAAGCGCACGCGCATTTTCCCTTGCAGGGAGCGCGCCCGGGAGCTCCCCGCATCCCCGTGCTCATCCGGGTCTCACCGAGCCCCCGCCAATAGTAGCCGCTCACAGCCCTCAGGGGCGGAGCTAAGCCTCCCCCTTCACCTGGGGCCTGTGGTCACCTCGAGTGCCTTCCAGGGCCTGAGACTAGTCGCTTGAAGAAAGGAAAAGAAGCAGGGAGCCCTGCATGTGGGCAAGAACCTATATTTGTGAGATAGAGCGACTGAGTCCTTCCCGAAAGCGACTAAATCTCGAGCAGCTCACCCAGCCAGAGCCAGTGTAGTAAACACACTTCAGAAACGTGAGGTGCCGGTGGTCACGTGGGAAGCGTGTCCTCCAATGAGGAGCCGGAGGCGGGGCCGGGCCCGCTGACGCGGCGGCGGCGGCGGCGGCGGAGTCACCCGGGCAGCCTCGGGACCGATCACCGGCCGGCAACCGTCCAGCGGCCTCGACCACCGCTTTCGCCCTCTGATTTTGGTCCTCACTCCCGGACGGAGAGACAGCGCCACCATCGGAAGCCGAATCCTTTGCCGGTCCTCTGGGTGACTTAGCGCTGGCGGGCCGTTTTCTCCTCGCGGGCCGCCTCGGTGGGGCGAGGTTTCCGTGACGAACCTCCCGGGGCTGCCCGTGCCAGCTCAGGCCGTCGTGACCGCTCGAGCTGCTGGAACTTGCGCGCTCTCCAGGGGTCTCAGGCCCTGGAAGTTATGCATCTTCTTAGGGCGCTGGCCGCGGGCGGCGATTCCTAAAGGGCGTCACACTTGGACCTCGCCAACCGGGCAACTTCCATTCATCTTCCCGCTGCACCTACGGCGCCCTCGCCTTCTCGGGTCCCCTCCTCGGGTCCATTGAGTCCCGTCCCCTCCCTGCCGTCCTTTCCTCACTCCTTGGGTGCGGCGATTCTCCTGGAAGCGAAGGTGTCGGTTATGAGCCGGACCCCCCTTCCTTGAATTTCTCGGTGGAGGAAATCGGCGGTGACCCGCCCGCCGCCCGCCGGGCCCGGGCATGGGGGTGAACGCCGTGCACTGGTTCCGCAAGGGGCTCCGGCTCCACGACAACCCGGCGCTGAAAGAGTGCATCCAGGGTGCCGACACCATCCGCTGCGTCTACATCCTCGACCCCTGGTTCGCGGGCTCCTCCAACGTGGGCATCAACAGGTGGCGGTGAGTGGAGAGCTCGCGGGAAATTAATATTGTCTTGGGGGTGGGGGGGTCGCGATGTTGATGAATCGGGAGTGAGGGCCGGGTATTACGGGATCGGCCCCATCTGCCGTGTTAGACGTGCGATCACCTCGCTTAGACCGTTCAAGAACCGTAGGTGCTGGAAGTATTAGATAGAAATGACTTATTAGTTCCCTGGCCAGAGTACGGTCGACTGGAAGCCCTTGGCCTTTCCTGGTAAGTTTCTGTGTCTCTGTGCTAACTGGGGAACTAACTCTTCCCCTCGTTTATGGAGACTTCTTTAGTGGTGGAGTTAAACCCTGCCAGCCCTTAGTGTCCTGTGGGTTGATTCTCGTGGCTTCTTCGTGGTATTCGAAAGGATTGTGGGATTTAATGTTTACGTGCGTCTTGGAAAACTCATAGTATGGAGAAAAATCATTCATTCTTTACGGTCGGCTCCGCATCCAGTTTTCTTCCCCCTGGAGGTTACCGTTGGAAAAGCAAGGGGAGAGCGTTGTCTGGGTTCTCTTTGCCCAGCTCGTCCTCTCAACTCCTCCTTGTGGTTGACAGGACAAAGAACAGTTTTTCTTTCTAGGCAAAGTAGAATCCTTCTAGGGATCCGAGCACTGCAAGACGTCCTAGAGACGTTTGGTGATCTTTTTTTGAAAATCCAGGCTAGGTGATTGTTAGGCGGAGTGAAATGCAAGTTCAACAGATAGATTATCGATCGCTTAATTGCCAGGTACTGATTTAAATGTCAGAGATATAGTAGTGGATGAAGCAGAGTTAGAAGTTGTCCTTTTCAGGTGTCTATATGTAGTATTTTAGGTGGTGCTAAGTACTGTAAGGAAAAATGAGCAAAGAGATAAGGAAAACAAGGGTAGAGGTGGGATTGTAATTAAAATCTGATGGTGGCTGTGAAAGTCACAGAGAGGGTGATAGCAGACCTAAGGGAAGTTGATGGGATACAGATATCTAGAGGGAGGATATGCCAGGCAAAGAGAACAATCATGGGAAAGGTGCTGAGGTGGGAATGTGCTTGACCTTTGAAAGGAAGAGCCAAGGAGGCCAGTAAGTGAGGAGAAAGTGATAGGTGATGAGGTCAGAGTTGTAATAGAGCCAGATTGAATAGTGCTTTACAAGCAATTTACCAAGTTTTGTGTTTTTACTTAAAGTAAAGTGGAAGTAATTACAGGATTGTGAACAGAGGATTATGATGTGATCTGACTTATGTTAGGAAAAAAATTCTTTGGTTGTGGTTTTGAGAACAAACTGAATTGTGAGTGGAGATGAACAAGTGAGAAGACCAGTTAGGAGAGCATTGCAGCCATCCAGGTGGAAATAGGATGGCTTGGACCATAGTGACAGTGGTGGAAGTGGGAAGAAGCAGGCAGGTACTGGTTATATTCTGAAGACAGAACACTCAGAATTTGTTGGCAGATTGGATATGTGGTATATGCAGAAGAGGTGGAGTTAGGAATGCTTCAAAATTTCTGGGTTGGAGATGAAGCTGCAACCTTGCTAAGAAAGTGAAGCCAGCCAGAGAACCCTTTGAGAGGGTGGTTAGAGTTCTCTTTTGGAATTTGTTAAGTTTGAGATGCTTTTTACACACCCAGTGGGGAATATAGCAAATAGGTAGTTGGATATATGTGGAGTTTAGGATAGAGATCCAGATAGGAGTATAAATCGGAGCGTCATCAGTTTATACGTAGATAAAAAGCCCACATTTATCGAATAAGAATTGTCAAGTGTCTAGTATATACCCGGCACTGTGTCAAGTGTAGGGGATTCAGCATAACAAAGTAGCCCCAAATCTCTACCCTATTGAAACTACATTCTAGTGGCGCCATGAGACTGTATGAGAACATTAAAGAAGTGATTGTAGAGCTGGGGTTGTATGGAGCTCAGATGCAGAGTGGTTGTCTAACATGAACTAGACCCTGGTTCGATCTCCAGCACTGCAAAAAATAAAATAAAAATTTTTATTTTTTATTTGCCTATGTTAAATGCTATGATAGTCAAGTAAGATGGGAACTGAAAATTAAAAGTTAGACTTAGCATTTTAAGATCTTTCATAATATTGTCTATAGCGGTATTAGTAGTATCAGAGACAAAAGTCTTTTGGGAGTGATTACTCAAGACTCATAGCACTAATTCAGTGTCTCTCATATATTAGTATCTGTTTTTTGAATGAGGATATCCTGGAATCAATCATTTTATATTTATTTCCTTATTGGCTGTAGGATAATGCCCAAACTCCTTAGCCTGGCATTCAAGACCTACCTTTTGGCCTATGTATCTCATCTGCTACCATTTGCAGTATATGACCTCAACTCTAGGTGAGGGGAAACCTCTTAATTTTCCTTAGAAGCTGTTTTTTACTTTTTTGCAATACTGGGGTTTGAACTTAGGGTCTCATACTTGCTAGGCAAGTGAACTTGGGGCCTCATACTTGCTGGCAGAGCGGTTCAAGTGCTATACCACTTGAACCACTTTTGTGTTGGATATTTTCAAGATAGGGTTTCATGAACTGATTGCCCAGGCTGGTTTCAAACCATGATCCTCCTGATTGCTGCCTCCTGAGTAGCTAGGATTATAGGTGTGAGCCTATGGCAGGCACCCAACTTGTATTTCCTTTAATCATTGTGGTTTTTTTTTTTTTTAGACTTTTGGATTTAAGAGAAAAATAGTTACAAAAATGTTATAATAGTCAGAAGTTGGAGACAACCAAATGTCCATGAACTGATTAATTGATTTTTTTTAAATGTGGTATATCCATATAATAGACTATTATTTGGCCATTAAAAAGGTATGAAATATTGCATGTAAGAGGTATGTGATTGAAACTTGAAAACAAGCTAAGTGAAAGAAGCCAGTCACAAACTTCTACACATATATGACATTATATGATTCAATTTATGTAAAATGTCCACAATAGGCAAGTTGTAGACAAAGTAGAAACTCAGGAAAAGTCAATTTGTACTTCCTGTGTTTAGTGAAATTCTCAGCGTGCTGGGGTACTGGCCTGTGCCACCATGCCTAGCTTCATTCACTTTTTAGGTTGTCTCCAATGGATACTTAAACCAAGCTCTGTAAAACAAACAAACAAAAACCACAATAAACAAAAGGAACAAAATCTTGATTGTTATGTTCCTGCTCTGTAACTATGTATCTCAGTTCCTTTATAGCAGACTTCTTGAACAAGATGTTAATACAATTGACTTCATTTCTTTATCTTTACCCTTGAACCCATTCCAAACTAGTCTCCAGATATCCCTGCCCCTCCCCCAACTCTTCCAAAACTGTTTCCATCCATAAGATACTTTTAAACTTTTCACCCCTTGATTTTTTTTTTTTTTTTTTTGCCACGTATGACACATTGGACCTCATCTTCCTTTTCTTCCCTTGGCTTTAGTTAAAGCACTCCCCTGTCTATTTCTCTTCCAGAGCTAGCAGTGTTCTTGCTTGACTTCTTTTTTTTTCTGTTCAACCCTTCAGTGCCAGCTAAGTGTTCCTAGGCAATCTCATCGTTATGCCTCAAACTCTCAAATCAGTACCTTCAGCATAGATCTGTCTCCTGATCCCCAGATATGTGTGTCTCCTATTTATCTGCCTACTTGCATGTATTGTGTCACCTCTACCTCAACTTGTTCAAAACAAAGCTTAATTTTCTTCCTTACCTGTTGCTAAAAAACAAAATAATTGACTTTCCCTGTGCTTTCTGTCTCCATTTGCTCACCTACTCAAATGATTTACAGATTATATTATTAATTATATATCCATTTATTCAATAAATATTTGAGTCTCTAGAAAATGTGTGCCAATCACTTTGCTAATTTCTGTCAGTGAAATGATAGTCAAGGTAATTTCTGTGCTCTCAGGGAATTTACAGAGGAAATGTGTTCAGAAATAAAATAATTACAGAATTGCATATTCTCTCCTTTGCCATGCCCCGATGCCTAAATTCCTTCAGTAGCCTACAAATCATTGTACTCTTGCCCTCTTCTAATTCACTCCTTATACAATAAACAGAATATTTTAAAATAGAAAACTTGAACATATCACTTATGCTTTAAAACCCTTCAGAAGCATTTCTTAACTTTTGGATTACGGTTTAAAAAGCCAAACCATGGCTTAAACTCCCTGTGTAATCTGTCCCTCTGCTGCTCTTTCGAGTTTTGTGTGATCACTTCTCTGAGGCACTTGCACTGAGCCTTGGAAGTCTCACATGAACAAGGGAGTTCCAGGCAGTGGACGAGAAGTCTGGATGAGGAAAATAGCATGAGACACAGTGTTCTGATACTGATGAGGAGGCCAGTAGGGCTGAATCATGTGACATATGAAAAGACAGGAAGTGTTATTTAGTACTCTTGGTTGCCAGTCGGTTGTATGAGTCAAACATACTTAAGCAAAAAGAGAGTTCATTGGTAGATGTAGTTGAACAATTCAAGGGAACTGGCTCTAGAGATATGTTGATGCTAAGGCTCGTAAGATGTCACTTGGCTCCAGAGTGGCTCAAGCTGCAAGACTGCCTGCCTAGTAAGTATGAGGCCCTGAGTTCAAACGCTAATGCTGTCCCCCATTTTTTTTTTTTCTGTTTGCATCTCTGAACTTTACTTATTCTGCTTTGACTTCTCAGACAGGATGTCTTCTGGTGGTAAAATACAGCAATGACAGCAGTTACCGTAGTAAAAAGCATATGTCTCTGCTGCAGAAGTCTTAGCAAATGTCTGGCATTTCAGTAGATATGTTGGGTTCAACTTCTGAATCAATCATTGTGAGCCTCCCATTATTTTAGCTAGAAGTATGTGCCTCACTGGTGGAATAAGCTCAAGTGGACTGAAAGTACAATGAGTAGGAAGTAAGTGGGTACCCTAACACAACAGATGCCTGTTATGTAAGAACTCGGATCTGAAAGTAGATGCAATTCAGAAAAGCTTTGACCCCTATTTGGGAAAATGGAACTTTGGAGCTGAGTTAATGATAAAAGAGAGAGACAAAAT